AGTGGCTTAGGCTCCCCTCTTTAGCCTCTTCCTTACTTTATCCCACTTTTATTCTTACTTTTATATATTATACTCTCTAGTGTATTATATATCTAATAAGAAAGAGCTATAAGATAGCTATAATAGTAGATAGCTTTAGTATAAAGGCACTAAAACTCTCCTATATCTTATCCCTTTATATACTAAGTACTATAAGGAAGCTTACTAGGACACTCTAATACTTACTAGTCTTAGTAAAATAATTAAGTATAGAGATATAGAGCTCTAAAACATCTTCCTCTAGTAGATCCTAGAGCTCTTTTATCTATAATAATTAGGTAGTAGGTTACTATACCCTTAGGAGGTTAGTAAGCTTATTAGTATAGTCTATAGTAGTATTATACACTATAGTCTACCTTTAGCTAAGCTTAAATAGTGGTTAATTAGTCTAATTCTTAATAGATATAGTATAGATAAGGTAGGTAAAGAATTATAGGTAGACTATAATATACCTCTTCTTTATCTACTAGTTAAATTAGAAGTAGAATAGAGTACTCTACTCTTAATAAAACTCTTTCTAGTTTATCTTAAATAAAACATTCTAAAATATAGAGTCTAGTCTAGTAATAATAATAGAGTAATATATAACCCACCTAATAGTTATATATATAACCCTAAGCTATTCTTTATCTATATTATCCTTAAGATCCGTCTTATTCTAGCTACTACACTAGTTAGGTCTAGGCTGTGTGGCTAACTTACTGCCTTTAGGTGTATATTAAATAGAGAGAAGACTATATAAGAAATCCTTCTTATTACTAAAGTTCTAAAGATAACTAGCTACCCCTAACTAGTAGAGCTATAAGTTTAGCACTACTAAGTCTCCTAGGTTATTAATACCTTCTACCTCTTACTTCCTAACTTATAACCCTCTTACTTAGAATAGATCTAGTATAGAGTTAGCCTAGATTTCTATTATAGCCTCTTTATTTTCTAACTCTACTAGGTTAAGATTCCTTACTACTTTAAAGTATCTACTCTAGGCTCTAGTTATAAAGAACCACTAGTAGACTACTCTGCTTCTCTAGGGTATATTATTACACTCTTTACTTATTAGGCTAGTAGTCTAGTGGCCTAGGGGGAGCCTTTAATCCTAACCGTATATAACCTAAAGATGTTTATAGATCCTCCTTAGTCTAGACCTAGTATATTTATAGTCTAGTATAAATATATAGTAGTAGCCACTAGTAGTAAGTAGTCCTAGCGCCTTAATTAGATAGTAATTGTCTTTAGGTGTAGGTATACTATAAGTATCTACTTTATTCTCTACTATATTAAATCTTAATACCCACTACTCTACTCTTTTAATATTAGCCGCCTTAAGTAGGTATAGTAGTGCTTAAAGATACAACTTAATACTATATCTTAGTACCCTAGTTTAGTATATTTAATAAACTAATAATTAAAAGTCTTCTAGTATAGTAAAATATTCTATTATAAGAGGATATTATAATTAGGGTCTACCTTATAAATAACTTTTCTACTTATTACCCCTTAATCCTTATATAATAGTTCTAGGATTATAAACTTAACCCTAGTCTATTACACTTATAGGCCCTAGTCTATTATACTTATAGGCCCTAGTCTATTACACTTATAGGCCCTCCTAGTAGCCCCTAACTACTTCCCCCTAGGCACTACTACACTACTATAATTGCACTAGGACTAGAACCGCCTATAATACGCCTCTAAAGTAAATAATAAATATATTAGTCACTCTTACTTATAAGAAAACCTATTTCCTAACTTTTTAGGCTCCTTAACCACTAGCTTAATACTACCTAAGTATTCGTCGCCTATATATAAATCTATACGTCGCCTACCCTATATTATACTAGTGCTATCTTATCTCCTACCTAAAATTAATCGTCGGCTTTAAGACAATAATACCCATTCTATTAGGTTTTCTAGAGTAATAGGGATATATATAGTATTCTCTAATTCTATTAATTCTAGTATAAATATATAGACTAGTAGTTAGATTCTATATTCTTAGTCTTTTTCTTTAAATATTAACTATATACTAAAGTTCTAGTCTTTATTTAATATAAGTTTATTATAATAAATCTATTTATTAGTATTAAAGAAGTATTCTTTATTATTAATTATATTAATATTATAAATAAATATATTTTTATAGTTTACTATATTAAGCTTCTTTTATTTTTATAGGCTTTTATTATTTCTTTAGAGTCTAATACTTATTTATAAAGTGTCCCTTCTTACTATAATTATAGTAAGTCTTAGTTTTTTCGTTACTTATAGTATTAAATTCTATTAAGCCTAAATTAATTCTATAGACTATAGATCTATATATATATTTTCTACTATTAAACTAGTATTACTATAGGTAGAGTCTTTAAGTCCCTTTTCTCTTTCTATATTCTAGTTTTTTAGTATAAAGTTAGTTATTAATTTTAATAATCTAATTAATAAACTTACTAAAGTTATTAAGTTAATTATTTTTTAAGACTTTATTATTAACTTCCTCTTTTAGTTTATTATAGAATAGTTCTATTTAACTATTATTATTCTAAAAGAGTTATATTATAATATAGTAGAACTCTTTTCTATAATACTATATAGAGTCTATCTACTTTAACTACTTAAGCTTATAGACTACTATTTAGTCTTTATTAGGATCCTTAAATATAGTCTTAAGTTTCTTTTTAAATTTACTGTAGTTACTAAAGATTCTAATTATTTTCTCTTTAGATTCTTCTTTATTAAAATAATCTTATAAAGTTAACTCTTATTATTCTAATACTCTTTTTATAAGAAGGCTTTTTATATAAAGTACTTTTATTTTAAACTTTTTAATAGTATTATTAATATATAAATATACTTTAGTTTAAGTTAAAAAGGTTTATATATCTTCTTTAACTCTATTAAATAGATTAGGTTTAAAGAACTTAGAGAGAGTAATAACTCTAGTAGTATTTAAGACCTAGAGTTAATTAAGTTTGTTTATAAAGTTATTAACCTACTTAATAAACTAAGTAATAGTCTAGCCTAGGTTAATAGTATTACTATAAATAGTAGATATTATAGAGGTTTTAACTACTTAAGGTTTTAAAGTAACTTACTAAATAGAACTAATTAAAATATAATAGTGGCTCTTCTCTAATCTATAGTAAATCTATTTTTTAAAAAGTAAGTTAGTTAAATATATAATAGAGTATATATAAATAGTATTATAGTATAAGTTATATTAGGAGATTACTTATAATAGTAGAACTATTACTTAGATTAATTAGTAAAGATTTAGTCTAACTATTTACTAGAATCCCCTTCTTTATATATCTATCCTATTCTTTACTATACTACCTAGATTACTTAGTATACTTTACAATCCTTCTTTATATATCTATTCTATTCTCTACTATACTACTTAGATTACTTAGCTTACTTTATAATCCTAGTAATCCTAGATTAATACTAGATTACTATAATCCCTAGTAATCCAGTTATATAACTAGTCCTTTATTCCTACACCCTTATAAACACCCTATAGTTACTTCTTTAAACTACTCTACCTTTTTTCTATAGTACCTTAATGTATTTATAATACTAGGTTAGTTAATAAGAATTAATATAAGATTATACTACCCTTAAAAGGATAACTATAAGTATACTAAAGATAGGCCTTTATATAATATTTATACTATAATATAAAAACTAATAAGAGATATAATAAATAGTATAATTAATATAAATAATAAACACTTAAAGAACTATACTATTATATAAATAAATAATAATAAATACTCTAAGTATAAACTAGGTGCTTACTTACTTAGAGATATAGATAACTATATTCTTTTATAGCCCCTATATAGAGATTATAAGCCACTCCCCCC